TGGATAAATGTCATAACTCAATAAGTCTATCGTCCTTAATTTAGTGGTTCATGAACACACACACACAAACAATTCCACGAAAATTAATGTTTTTACAGTATATCAGCATGAGTTGTCATGTGTGTTCCTAAAAGTTCTATATTTAATCACGTGTGTTGACTTTATGGCAAAATGTGTCGATCTTTGTTGTGCGGTTTTAAAACAGGAGAAAAAATCAGTAATTACTATTGATGAACCGTACGGTGCTATGTAACGGGTTGGTACACACCAAACCACTAGCGATACAAAGACTGAAAAATAAACATCTAAACACTCTCATAATATGCAGGTCCTTAAACGTGATATCAAGTACACATCTGTTTAAAAGGTGAACACATGTTTTACATTCCTAAAAGGTTTTACTTGGATGTACCATTAAGGTAATTACATATCTATACGTGAATTCGATAGAAGTCAAGTTCACACCAATTAGAATGGAGGTCAGTGAGGACACTGTGGGTCCAACATGACGTAATCAGTGCATCAGTCCTGGGACAGCGTACATAGGTTTTTTAGTATCTCATCATCACATCCACTGAAAGGCCGAAAGAACGTAAAAGTGAACGTAAACTCAATAAATAAATAAATAAATAAATAAATAAATAAATAAAATTATCAGAAAGGTCGGGCACTTATGCTCACACATGTTAATTGTAACTATTTATATATTTACATTTCGCATCGTGATTTCCCGTTTTACTCTGTGTTTAAACCCGATTTCATTGATACGTAACAGATCACATGATAGTATTGTGACGTCATTTTAGCACCATGCAATCATACGCCAAAATCTTGCTAATGTAGTAATATACATATGACATATGTGCAATTTATATTTTCTGTTAGCATTAATCGTTTACAGGAATCTAATTCTCGGGAGGCTTGAACATAACACTGATAACGACAATAATCACGGTGCTATGTTCATTCAACTCAAGAAAACATATTAACAAAATTTGTACGTTTGACACCTACAGGAAACTATTTTGGCATTCAAAATGAAATTATATTCTTCTAGCATACGTAAATCGTTATTCCAGGATGGCATACTGCAAACCAGTGTCTGCTTAAAACACTATCTTGTGAAATTACATAGAGTATGCCAAGGTCATGTGAAGGTCGATGATCATGTGCCATAAAGACATTGTTGGTTTGGGTATGGTATCTAGTAGTATATGTAGTTTTGCTGTGGTGCTCTGTGAAAAAAATAACTTACATCTTCTTGTGTACGGTCAATACGCAGAATATCTGCACGTGAAAAATATTAAGCGAGATTTTGAAAATAGCTTAGTTACAAAAAGCAGATGTTGTAATAGCGATGTATTCATGGGAATGTTTATTGCTATGGTTTAAACCATTTCTCGTTATTCCCTACATCGTAAGACTCTCAGTGGGGGTGGGGGTGGGGGTTATATGGCAGTGACGGTTGTTTTTAATTCAAATACTGTTCACGCGCGCACGCTTATTTCCGCAGTTACATACATTTTTATGCCAAATATACGGGAAGTAAAAGAGCATTGTAGTGATCTATAGTATGTACCATCGTGTGTGACACAAATTTCCTACTCTGTTGGCTGGCTTCAAATACATACAGATGACCTTGATAAATATTGTATTTAAGGTCAATTCATAAATTACTTAATTCCTCGATTACTTCCTCTCGGTTATCACTCAAATTATTTAAATATATTCCATTTTTTTTAGAAAATGACACAGTTTTAGATTCACACACATACACACACACGCGCGTACATTTGAGTGATTCAGTTAGCACTATATTACACGATAGCTTTAAATTCTGTTGAACATAAAAGTTCATTATCGAAAACAATCTAGTAGAAGTAAAACCGTAGCATCATATCGATATATGAAACTATATCAGTCATTATGCTGTCTATTTTGATCGTAACACGCGTATTTGTTCCCAACAAATATCACTCTCGGCCTAAAATGGTAACATTGATTATAAATACAGGCATTTAAAATCGCACACAGGTTGTTTGCACATAAATGTAGCAGCCTTAAATACCAAACTATTATTAAAGCTATTTTTGTTAAACATGTTGTGAAAAGTGTTTGTTAAATAGTCTTCATCAGTTTACAGACCATGATCAATATGTACATTTACAATGTATGCTAATCCTGACTGAATCTGTGGTGTATAATAATAGGATAAATGACTTAATGTTCAAACCTTGCTTAATCGCAAGCATGCTGATAATAAGTGCTATTCATGAAATAAACCAGGAGCATCATAAAGGTGTGTTATCAGTGTGCACTGAATCTACAAAGTAACATAGTATAACGTTTTGATAACATCGACAGAATATGATGTACAGCCCAAGTGAAAGCCATTTGCTGGACGTCATGTTAATTTGCGCTGGACGTCAATTTAGTTTGCGCTGGACGTCATTTCAGTTTGCGCTAGACGTCATGTTAGTTTGCGCTGGACGTCATGGTAGTTTGCCCTGACTTCAATTTAGCTTGCGCTGGACGTCATTTCAGAGTGCGCTGAACGTCATTTCAGTTTGCGCTAGACGTCATTTCAGTTTGCGCTGAACGTCATTTCAGTTTGCGCTGGACGTCATTTTAGTTTGCGCTGGACGTCATTTTAGTTTACGCTAGACGTCATTTTAGTTTGCGCTGGACGTCATGTTAGTTTGCTCTGGACCTCATTCTATTTTGCGCTGAACGTCATTTTAGTTTGCGCTAGACGTCATTTTAGTTTGCGCTGGACGTCATGTTAGTTTGCTCTGGACCTCATTCTATTTTGCGCTGAACGTCATTTTAGTTTGCGCTAGACGTCATTTTAGTTTGCGCTGGACGTCATGTTAGTTTGCTCTGGACCTCATTCTATTTTGCGCTGGACGTCATTTTAGTTTGCGCTGGACGTCAATTTAGTTTGCGCTGGGCGTCATTTCAGTTTGCGCTTGACGTCATCTCAGTTTGCGCTGGTCGTCATTTTATTTTGCGCTAGACGTCATTTCAGTTTGCGCTTCAGTTTGCGCTGGACGTCATTTCAGTTTGCGCTAGACGTCATGTTAGTTTGCGCTGGACGTCATGTTAGTTTGCCCTGACATTAATTTAGCTTGCGCTGGACGTCATTTCAGTTTGCGTTGAACGTTATTTCAGTTTGCGCTAGACGTCATTTCTGTTTGCGCTGAACGTCATTTCAGTTTGCGCTGGACGTCATTTTAGTTTGCGCTGGACGTCATTTTAGTTTACGCTGGACGTCATTTTAGTTTGCGCCGGACGTCATGTTAGTTTGCTCTGGACCTCATTCTATGGTGCGCTGGATGTCATTTTAGTTTGCGCTGGACGTCAATTTAGTTTGGGCTGGGCGTCATTTCAGTTTGCGCTGGACGTCATTTCAGTTTGCGCTGGACGTCATTTCAGTTTGCGCTGGACGTCATTTTATTTTGCGCTGGACGTCATTTTAGTTTGCGCTGGACGTAATTACAGTTTGTGCTGGACGTCATTTCAGTTTGCGCTGGACGTCATTTTAGTTAGCAGATACTTATGATATAAATCTCACGATGGTCAGCCGTTTTAGAAGCCCATCAAAAGTAAAAACCGAATGACCGAAGAAAACAAAACACTTACCTAAAGGGATCTATTCACTGAAAGACATAATTGCTATTAAGTAATATACATATTTTTACTTAGTATATAATTCGGTTCTAGCTGCCCAAAATATGTAAATGTGCCATTTCAGTGCAAGCCACTTGACTTTGTTCTTTTTTTGGGTTAACGTCAAACAAGTTCAATACACAGTATCACCAGAAACTCCTTTAAATTAAACAGTTATCTATTTTTAATTTTATCTCTGTTACATCTAGTGATCCGGCACCGAAAACCAATAGCATACCATTTCTTGTTTTTCTTTTATCGTAAAACGTATCAAGTTACAAGAAATGGACTTTATATTAACAGTTTAAATATATGTTTGATACTCGATAAAAAAAAAAAACAAAAACAAACAAAAACAAAAAAAGGAAAGGAAACGTTCAGTTGTTTTTTTGAACAAATATCATCGTACCTGTTGAGAAACACCATTTTTTTCCATTCTGCAAAATATTGAAGATCGTGAGCATTAAAGGTGGAAAATGTCAGCTCACGTATTTGGAGAAAAAAGGGGGATATATTTGTTACAACTTTGATGCAGGTTTGGAATGCACGCGGACATCAAATCGCAAGACTTTCTTTCTGAGTTTTAATCTGATAAAATAGAATTTTGATAAAAAGATATGTTTCGCTGCTGTGAAAAATGTGTGAGTACTTTCTTTAAGGCAGCCAAGAAGTATATACCGTGGATATTTTAGTCGGTGGAATACAGCTTTCCATGCCTAATCTGTTGTCAGTGATATGATCATTAATTACATCAGAAATTTATGAAATGAGTCTTAGAAGAACATATTTTTGCGAACACTGGTGAGCAAAATTTGAAACATCGAGACGAGTTTCGTGAAATCTCACATGAAATGAAAACAAATCTAAGATATTTGCATCACATACCTCACATTTGACAGGTTTTAAAGTATTTTTTTTAAGACAAAGTCAAACGGAGGCAGCATTTTTTCCCGTCATTTTTAAAGTAATGACGTAACGTCATTGTCCAAATTATGACATCATCGATTTCTGAGTGGTGCGGCCAATGACTTATGCTTCAGGGTAAACTCCACTTGTGATACATATGCAGAAAACATTACAGGAGCGAAATAGCTGGAGAAATTGGCGAGTTAAATCATGTTAGGGCCACACTTGTAATAACATCTTTGATTCATACACGAATACTTTTTTTTACGATTTGTTGCGAAAAGTGAAATGACAAATACATTGTATAACCTTACATTCGTTTCCATTGTATATCATCAAACCGATTAATTTCGTTACGAACTCTATTATCTTCATAATTTAGTTAATATTTCTTTTCTTTTTTTCAGATTGACGACAAGTCGAAGATGGTATATACGATGATATCGGTGTGTTTCCTCCTGACCTTGACCTTGGTTGGTTCTGTGCGCGAGAATTGTGTTTTTCCATATTATATAACAGATATTCATTGGAACTATAAGATTGCCGTGAGTAAGTCAGAGAGGACACAAGTAGTGTTCACAAATAACGACGTTACCTTCACCACGCAACAGTTGCCGAGCGAGTACGTCATGAACAGAGTGACGTATATCTGTGACGAAATGGCAGACATGAATAAGTTTCTTTTGAAATCGTTTGAAGATGACGGGATTGCGCAGTTTAAGTGTTTGGAAATAATTGAACGTAGTAAGTCCGTTTTGCAATTTCGAGAGTCCAAAACACAAGCTACTAAGTCCTTGTCCTTATGCAATCAGGAGAACCTCATTTTGGATCCGTGGCCTGTTATCTCGTATACCGACATACTGTCGGATAATTCGCCTTGTCCAGTGAATGCCGGATACAACATGAAGATTGCCGATGGAAATGGTAATGACCTTGGATGTAACTTCATGGATCTGCCTATGCGATTTGAAAGTGATTGTTTAGCAGGAGAAGGCGTGGTTTTCAATTTCCGGAAACACGAGTGTACTAGTTTCTTATCCACAGAAATTCTACAGAAAACAATCTGCATCACACACTGGGTTGAAGGGAACTTTTTGTTTACGATAGTCCGAAAGCACGACAGTGGTGATGTTTGGTGTTTACGGTTTCCAAGGCGAAGGATAGGGAAAGCCATCAAAGTGGAACTATTCACTGACATCATTTGTCCAGAAAACCCACCCTCCAATTATAATGTGAATTTTTTCACACTCTATCTCGAAAAAGAAGTCCAAACGGATTTATGCGCCGATGAATATTCACAATGTTCGCGTAAACCTTGCATGTCATATATCCGCGATCAGTGTCACAAATCCTGTGGCAAATGTAAAGTGGACGAACCTCTTCCAGTCTGTTCCTTTCCAAGGCGATTTCGAGGGGAGTGGTATCTCGGAAACTCACAGCCTGAAAACATTAACATTTCCGAGTCTGTAATGCAAATTGGATCCATCGGTCACTTCAAATGTGTCGCTTTCTCTGATTCCCCGCCGTCAAAAGAGCGGATATACACGACAATATCTTTATTTGAAAATGGCTGTCGTCCACGATACACTTGTTTGGATTTAAAACGGATAAGTCCATCCGTCATTGGTTTTTCCATTAGTCAAAGTTTTGTGTGGCCTCTCAATGACAATCATCCTGGTGAATCGATCTGCAGCAAGGAAAGGTTTGAACCCGATAATGAACCGATCGGTGATCGATATCGATCGCCTCCAAACGCAGCAAAGCCAATACTTCCGATCTCTCGGACGCTTGTGCCTACATCCTGTCATTTAAAATCCGTGTATAATTTCCGCGCGCTAATTAAAAGAACATCTTCCTGTAATGGAAAAATATACCAAGACTGCAAAAATTCATCTCTCATTCGCATGGAATTCAACAGATGTCGTATTCAACAAGATTCGTTGAATTTCATGTGTGTCGCGTCGTTTAAAGGAAGATACTGGGAGAAGCTGTTGATCCTGGTAAACATAGATAATGTATACGACTCTAAGTGCCTGGCATTTACGTCACTAAAACCATTGGAGGCGTTAATGTTACACTCAAGTCAGTGTGATATGTACGCTTGGTCGTATTATGACGCGTCAATACGCTCGGCGTACATGCATTTCCATCTTCAACCGCAAGATAAAACTTGCAAGGACATACCCTTGCCAACAACAACGGCCCTTCCGGCTATTTCTGAAGCAAATAAAATGATAGAAGCAACTCCCGTTTCTGGTAAAAATCTTCCTAATCCTTCATTGATGAGAGACGGTTTACCTACTCCTACATACAACATGCCCAAAAATTCAGATAAATCGGAATTGTCTTCAAAAAATACCGGAAGTTTGAGTAAAGGGGAGGTAATAAGTGATTCCCAAAATAACGCACAGACACATTTAACATCAACACCTATATTTATAACATTACTTTCTAATTTCGTATTATTACATATTTTTTTTGTGTAAAGATTGAGGAAGTGGTGACTGTTTTCCTGTCATAAGCATTTTGAAACTGGAACCGACGTGTGTTTCCGGTTCCTGCTTCAGTTAAAGAGACGTATTGTAATAAGACGACTTTTTTCATTTTCGTGTCAAAGTTTCGTACACTTTTTATTCTTAGAATCAAAATTCATCAATTTCGCATAATAGTTACATTTTCATTTTCATCAAAAACATAATTTGATCGGTTACTATGTCATTGGAATTTTTGCGTTGCATAGCAACAAAGTTGTGTTTATCGTTTATTACGTCACTCTCCATGTAAGTGAAAAAGGACACGACGAAGAAGAACGATTGTGGGGGCAGTGCCTAGAGTTACTTTCATTGCTACAAACAGATTTGTATGAATAGATATGTATAATGAAGAATGGTGAGGTCACACGTCACACGTGCAACAGGCATGTAGTCTTTGATCCATTCTGAATTTAAAATTTATAACATGAGTTTGTTTTGTCTCCCTTTTTGCTACTGAAGTATCGAAACACGATCACGCTCTATAAACCACTTTCTGGTTGGGTATTATATTGATGTGTTTGCGCATGATAGTGTAATGAAAATCTTGCCTTCGTCGTATTCCTTGGCTATAAATCTAAAGTTTCTGTACTGGTTGCTTCAGTCCGTTTCCTGTTTTGTGAAGTTTGAGATGAGTCCTTCGGATTCAATGTGTTTTACTATAAATGTACTGTGTACGATGACTTTTGAGTTATGGAATAAATTCAGGTTTTAAACGAAATAAATCAAAAGGGTATTTTGATGTAATTGTGTTCAATGGTGATGTCAAAACGTTTACATTTGAGAACTGTTTAAATCTATATTTTTCGTATTAACATACAAACAAAACATTTTTAGAGTGCGGAAATGAGAGCATAGCGAGGGAAAAACCTCAGTTATGCAGTTGTTGGCTAATATCTCTTGTTTAATATCATACATTCTGCTCTTGTTCTTATCGACGTTGGTTCATTGACTAGAGGGATGACTGGATTACAGATAAAATATTGAGTTATTTGTCATGTTAAAGACCAGTACACGAAATTGTCATCAATGTTCGTGCTTTTTTCTCAGTTCCAGAATTCTGAACATATTCCGTCAATCACACGATACATCTGATAAATCTTTACGCGTCATGCTTTTGCAACTTTCCTTGTTATCAATTTGAAATACAAAGATAATGGTGGCAGGTTCTGGGTACCAGACGGCTATCTGTTGTTGGTCTGATAGATTTAGAAAAACGAAAAATGTGACGTGTTAATATCTGACAGCTTACGGTATCGATCTTTCCTTATGATGAAGACTTGACTCACGAAGTTTCATCGGCGCCGAAAACGGAAGTTAAGATATTTCTATTACAAGATCTTTCACATTTGTATTGCCAAGATAGATTGGGAAAGCTATATATATATATCCAAAGAAATTGTCTGATAATCTATCTTATTCTACAGTGAATTAATTCTAGTGGGACGTTTATTTTAGCGTCAATGTGTTGTGCCGAAATCAGCAGGATTATAAATTTGGCAGTACGTTTTTAGTTTTAGGGTTTTGCTGCATGTCATAACTTATATTAAATTAGCGTATAGTCTGAATTGATACATCAGCGAGTGATTAGGTACACACACACCACCAAACACACACAACACACACACACAACACACACACCATCACAAACACCCTCGCACACACACAACACACACAACCACCACCACACACCACACACACACCCTTACACACACAACACACACACCCTCACACATACACACACACACAACCACCACCACACACCACACACACACACACACACCACCACACACACACAACTCACACACCACCACACACACACAACACACACCACATACACACACAACACACACACCCTCACACACACACCCACACACACCCACAACCACCACCACACACAAAACACACACACAACACACACACCCTCACACACACACACCCACACACACAACCACCACCACACACCACACACCACACACACACAACACACACACCATCACAAACACCCTCGCACACACACACAACCACTACCACACCACACACACACCCTCACACACACACACACAACACACACACCATCACAAACACCCTCGCACACACACACCCACCCACACACACACCACCACCACACCACACCCCCCACACACCTTCACACACACACACCTTCACACACACACACACACACACACACACACACACACACACACACACACACACACACACACACACACACACACACACACACACACACACACGTATATATATAAACTTATATATATAAACCATATCGAAACACGTTATCCAACTCAGTCTAATCACTGACTTAGTATGCATATGTGTTTTTACGGTATCATGAAAAAAGTTAAACATGGCGTCTGAAATAAATCCAGGCTATTGCGACAACAAATTGTCTTTCTGAACTTCTTCGATGAAAATTATCAATAGTTGTGTTTGCTATCTAGCCTAGAATATCCATGTGTTAGTGACGTAACCAAGCAAGGATGACCGTTGCTATTGGTAACAACGTGTGTCGTCTGCTCGACCACGATCGAAGTGATTTAGACATGTCACCCAATTTACAGCACTAACTATTAGGAATAGACAAAATTGCAGGAAATGGGCTGATTTCTTTCTGCTGATATCTAGCTATGTGTTCACGTCACCGTCGAGATCTCAAAGTCTAATTTCCGGATATCCTTCACGCCATTTTAGTTCAGTGGATCATTATCAGACCATCGTCTCATTTTAAATGCATTGCCCTGTCATTCCAAGATACTTATCTTTTAATAATTCTTCTTGATTCAGATGTATTGGTGTTTTTATTTCACGTCAGGTTTATTTTTTAAAATAAATGTAGTCAATTCTGAGTTTTTGGCTCACGAAAAATTAAACGAACTTAATTATTTGAACTGTGCACGAAGTAAATTTGAGAAGCGTAATCATCGTCAAATTCCAACCAACATTAAGATATTTTTTGAGAATTCTATATTTATTTTATATTGTATGGACAAATCACATATCTAATTTACTCTAAACGTGATGTCAAACGGTGGCAAATAGGAATAATCCCGTATTTGTTTTCGAATGTTAGTTGCGCAAATAATGGTGGTGGGGAGGAGGGTTAACTTTTTCCTCTTTTTGTAAATTTTAGATGGGCAAAGTTCTACTATCGTGTAAAGCTATTTTTAGAATGAATTTTACCTAAAAGAGTAAAAGATTTTGTTTTAAACTTCAGCCCTCATAAGTATTTATTACAGTATAAATGTTGTCATTTTTTGTAATGTTTCTATGGGATTCAGTTGGCGTATTTTGAGTCCCGAAACCTACGTATTTTACATTCTGTTTTGAAAAAGATATTGGCAGATATCATTAAGGTAATTGGGCCGAATACACTGAAGGACCTGTTATTTCATCGCTGGATGAGCCTGAAGAGGTAATCAAACCTCATTTATATGGAAATTTGTACGAAATGACCTTAATATTGATTTCGTTAAGTCGATTTTTTTATGTAAAACAGTCCTGATTTCTTTGTCTTGTGTCTATGGAAATGTCATCGAATATTCCTACAATGCACTACCTTACCACCAATCAATAAACACCATTGTTGTTTGTTTTGTTCAGTTCAGGGCTATTGACACTACAAATGAATAGTGACGGTTTACATCATTGAACTGCAGTTACTTATAAACTATTTAAAAAATAATGTCTTGTCTCGGTTTTTTTTTAGGGTTGTTCAGAAAACTCAAAGTCAGACAAATGTTTCAAGGATTTCATATTTATTAATTTATTCAACTTTTTTTTGCTTGCAGAACTGTGACGTTTTACTCCAGGGGAAAAGTTTAGTCATTTACCAAGAAAAAGGTGGCTGTGAGATTTTTTTTAGAAAAATTAAATTAAAAACATTAAAAGTTATCTTTACAAAAAAATTGCCCACACTTAACATTAATTATTTTTCAGATGATAATGTGTTGTAAAAAAAGCTCACTATTTATGAATTAACATGTTGATCTGTGCGACGGTTGTGTCCGCTAATTGGTCATATATGTATTACGATGCAATATCTTAACTTCACATAAATCATAATCCCTTTGTATACTAGGTCACTGTATTTTTACCTTATGTTGTTATAGCTAAGATATGATCAGTGGTATGATTTTTGCTTAGTAGCAGTAAGCCCTGTTGATCACCAGCTTAAATACATTTTATCGCTATGATTAATATTTGTGAGCTTATCAACTGTACAATACATATTGCACATTAGTAAGATGAATATGTTTGTCTTCATACAGTTTGATTAAATGATATTATATATGTATATATATTTATTTGTGTGTGTGTAAGTGTCCATTTCTAAATCATTTTCACTTTTAACTGTTTGAAGGCGAAGCCCACAATGTGCCTGACGGAACAACATGACATATCTATGTTTAAACGCTTCACCATAAATCTTCACAAATAATGTTCAAGGAGATCTTGTAAAATGTTAAAAAGAAGAAGAAGAAAAATATATATACATAAGAACAGACGATAAAGTGTGCTTTTTATGAAGGTGATCTTGATGGTTTTAATTTCTTCTTGTGTTGAAATCATCACTTCATCAAACAAATTAATGATTCTGAAACATGTATATATTTTTGGAAACCCAAAATATCACATATCTGCAGTAATATGACATTTCAAGAATTTATTATTGTATAATACGTTATTTTTAAAATAACGACCATATTGCTGGATAAAAATACTTTACTTTACTTCCGGTAGCTGAACACATTAAATTTCAAATACTAGTTGTGATACAATGTATTTGATATGTTATCGAGTTATTTGTTTTCTAAATAAGTCCCATATTAAAGTAAAAACAAGTTTTCTTTGATGTTTAAGATGCAGGGTAATGTATTATATACTCATAAATAATTATATACTTATAAAAGACATACCATACGATTTATGTCGCA